TTGATTTGTGGTTAATATTGGTTCTCACAGTTACCACAAACAACTCAGTTCTCCCTTGAATAGGCCCCTATATATATATATATATATATATATTTTCTAGTGGGATCATGTTTATTAAGCTATTTTCTTAATCAACGTGCCTTTCTTTGTGTTGTTAACTTTTATAGGAAAGTTTTGTGATTGCATCATTGCATATAGATTCAAGAAACACCGGCATAGAAATCTCAGCTGTCTGGATATGGATTTTCAGATCTTAATCTTAATGATTCAAATAATCGACATACTTATTCACATTTTTCTAATGGCTGCATGGTCCCAGCGCTTTGCCAAGAATTACCTTGGTTTGTTAAGAAAATAATATTGAAAAAGCACCTTAATCAATGGACCCACGTACGGTCTTATCTATAATTTGTCACTAATTGTTTATTTAATCCTTAGAATATTGTTTATAGTTTGCAGATGGACTCACTAAAGTCATAGCAAGTAAAATGGACGGTTGTATGCGACTTCAGAAGTCAAGACGACTTGTTTATGCGACTATCTGATATAAATATGGAAGTCACTAACATGTCGCAACATATGTAGTGTAACTTTTCCCCTGTCCAATAATGCGACTTGATGAGCACCTACATAAATCGTGTTCGGGTTGGTGTGGATGTGTTGAAAACCATTTTTCAACACATAATAATGTATGTATTAGTGGATATTCGAAGCAATTGCTCATGGTGCTTATTAGTTTTACTTGTAAGGTGTTTGTTAGAATTTTAAGGTTAGGGTGTAAGTGAGAATCAACACTCACCGATTGATGCATCTAAAAGCACATTGATCAATGGCACCAAAGGCATGTTGATGTAGTGCCACGGATTGTATTCATTGGTCACTGATTAGTGCCATTGAAGCTCATGTAGATATAGATGTAGATGTAGAGGTTTTCATCGGTTAAAATCCAATGGATTTAGTTGGATCCGATCAGATCAATCATCCATTGGATGTTGAAATTTGTCATCCGATACAATCCGGTTAACATTGGACATCTGATCCGTCCCAAATCCAATGAATGATTGAATCATATATCAGTTTCATCCATTGGCTGTTACTATTGGTTATTCATTACATCATATTGAATTTATCTAATCTTTTGATTCAATACTCAACCAATTAATCCACTATTCCCACCAATTATTCATATATTTTCTTAAGTTATTAAAAAACAATGTATAAAATAAAAACTAAAAACAATATTGTAAAATATTAATAATTATATATAGTTATTAATTAGATATTAGTTGGATGATAATTGGATTGGATCGGTTTGGTTTTATTGGATGTTGGACTGTCATTCAAGAACCGACCAATCCGATTTGGATGTTGAAATTTTGGATCCGATCTGATCCAATTACAATTGAATATCTAATTATGGCCGGTCGTCGGTACTCATTGAATCGAATAACTTTCTGTACACCCCTAAGCTCAGGTACAGAAGCAATGCATTAATTCCAGACACTGAACGTAGACAATGAAACTCAAGAGTATCTCATTTGACCCCGGTCATATAATGACATCCAGTGATCTACGGTTCAAGTTAGTTTATAAAAGTACACGTACACTCTACCCCTCCTAACATGTATTATAACCTCTTCAGTCTTTTGTAAATCTCAACTACACCAAATGATCTGATGGCACTAAAATCACCAACGTTGTAGTATCGAGTTGAGAGCCAACGTAATATACATGTCACTCTCAAAATCCTTATCGAAATTGAAAGTCATAGTTAAAACGTACTTTCTGCAATTACTTTACAAGAAACTTTGCTTAAACTACGACCTTTCGTATATAAGTATGTTAAGTTTGTGTAGTCTTATGTCGTCACTCTTAAGTCTTAAACATCGACATCAAGAAACAAAAATGCATTGTGAATATTCTATAAAATTATATGGAACTTCTTATCATTGTCTAATTTTCACAAACTAATTGTTCTTAATTATATTAATGGGACAATTAGTGCAAGACGAGAATCATCTTGTAGAAGATTTTGCTCTGAATTAATGGGTGCCACTCAATTAATTATAATGCTCCTAAACATGGTTTTCAAGAAAATTGGTGGAAATTAAAGTTTTATATATAGAGAGAGACTTTGAATTATATGAGACCAACCTGTTTTTGTGACTCTATATTTATACATTTGAAACTTCACAGCAAAACACTGTAAAGATTATGTGTTCTCACAAGTCTCACAAAACAGGCTGGTCTTACCTGAATTCAACCCATGCACCCTCACATACAGATAAAAGAAAAAACAGATGACCAATTGAATTAATGTTGGTCACTTTCAAAAACTCCCATTATGAATGCATTTAATTGTTAGGTACACTTATAACTTGTACCACCATTTCATCATTCTCCACTCAGCCAACCCTAATTTAATCCCCTTTTTAGCTGCTATCATCTTATTCTTTTAAGTTTACATTCATCTTCTTGTCCTTCAACAATATTCTTGGTTGAATGAGTTATACTTTTTAACTACATATAATAATATAATCTAAATAACTTGGTCCATATATAAATCCCATAACAGTTAAACTAATTGGCCGTTTACTAAACGTTTATCGGGTAAGTGCTTATCGGTAAGAGACATTACACTCACTTACCTTAATTATTGGATAACATTCTCAACCATAAAAAATAGATTGTTAGTAAGCGTCTTAAATCCGGTAAGCATTAGTTTTTTCCTTCACTTACCACGTAAGACTCTCGGTACTTATTATACCTCTTACGTGATAAAACCGATCAAATCGAATTCACCTAAATAAATAGAACCGATCTGGTCCAATCATCCATTGGATTATAGTGGATCGGATGCCAGTATTAATAAAATCCAATATCCAATGGATAATTGGATCAAATCGAATTCACGTAAATAAATTGAATTTTCAACCGATGAACACCGTCAATCATAATAGATTTCTTAATTATTTGAACCAATTTGTGTTTTTCAATAAGCTATTAAGAAAGAAAGAAAGAAAATAAAAGAAGTGGGGCCATGCAGAGCAGTTCGATCATAAATTATGAAAGAGGCTTGGAAAAAGCATTCTCTAACCTTTGAGAACCACAAACTCATTCATCTTGTTAAGAAAACCAAAATTTACCACACAAATTAAGCTGCATTTTAACTTATAACCGTAACTAAAAACGGGAGAAGGTACGAAGAGAAGTTTTCATATGTGATTACTGAAAATTTCATTTTTGAATATGTCTGTGTAAACCGATCTGAATAATATGTAATACGGGTTTAACATGTGCATCTTTAAATGGATTTTTTTTTCAATGATTCATATATGGATCTTTCATTTGCACATTCTCAGTATCTTTAGTCTTTCTGGTTTGAACCTCCCACTATAACTTGAGTTAAGTAACGTATGGTATGTCGTATACAAGAAAAGGTCCTCCAAGATCGTGATAAAACCAAGAAATCTCGAGTCCTGCACATAATTCTAGAAAATATGATGTTTTTTTTTACGACGTAATTAAAGTTTTGTTAAGGTTAATAATAAAAAAAATAATGGATATACACGTAGTTCATTACTTCATTAATTTATATACATTATGACGATAACTACACCCTAGTGTGTCTCTAATTGATTGGGTTAATTAACCAATCGCATATATAGCAGAATCAACTTTTTTACTTGCACTAAAATTCTTCATATGTTCCATTCCTCTAGAAGATGATCTAATCTCCAATTTGAACCCACAAACCATGGTAGTGCTTAATGCTTCCATTTGAATTTTTTTTAACCTATGATTGAATTAATCTCATAAAACCCTGAAAATAACGTTATATAAAGTCTTTGATGGTTCTAAAGAGACTTGAATTAATATGTGAAAGAGCCCCAAGGCCTAGATTTTATTGGCCCTCAAGAAGCTTTACGCAAAAGGTCGTGTGGATTTTAGAGTCACGATCACATACGAGTTTGGAAATTCCTAAGTGACGATCCATGTGATATGTACTTTTGATTAACGGTCAAGAGCATCAACATTCTTTTAATAGTTAGCTCGAAGCATATGCATCAAGAACAAACAAGCGCCATTTGGGCATCCATCGCATAGTGCTCAACTTTCGATAATATACTTTAAATGAAGAATCATATTCGTCAGCCAAATGTTGTGACCGAGTTGAGTCTATTTCATTCACAAAAGACCAAGCCAAAGATCCACAAGTTCGCAACAACAAAAGAATTAAGTTTTTGGAGGATTCCATTTTGATCTGTTTTCACATCTAAGAAACGAACCTACCAATTTACCTTTGGCAAATATTATATGGAATCAACAAAAAACACACGAACGAATTAAAACCTAGAAACAATCAAAACATAAACAAAAGCAAACAACTTGAACCAAATTAAGAATCAACTTGTTGGAAATCCGATGGTACAACAAGAGTTGCCAGGCGGGGTTCATATGAGAAGGTTTCTTGATGAAGTTTTCCAAGTTATAGCGAGTTCAGTGGTAACAAGCTTATAAACAAATTAAGAAGGCATAATCATTGACTTTTCGCTTTCTATCTATTCGTTGCTATACCTTATCGGACCTTTTGAATTGATTTCATACAAATAAACACGTCCATCCAATAATGAAACTTTCCTGTTGTGATTCATTTCATCCACCTGCAAATGCAACAAGGTAATGAGGAACTCTCCAGATATTGTCTGCTCTATCTACACCTGGACTCACGGTTTTAAAACACATATGATAAATGAGGTATCCAGTCCCTTATAAGGCAACCTTCATTCCCCTCCCCAACCGATGTGGGATCTTACAACATGCCAAATGGTTAACTCACTTATGGCTTGTTTGGCTAGAGACCATTCCCACAAACATTATTCATCAGTGAATACCTTAAATACTATTAATTTCCCCATTTATAATGTCAAATTAAGCTCATAAAGAAACCATTAGAGTGTATATGTAAGTTGGGCTTTTATGATGATTGAGTATGCTATGATTCTATCTCTGTCGTGACGATTCAAATTACCTTCTTGCTACAAGAATCATTTATCAATCTTCATGTTCGTTATCACTATCAGAATCTGCAAAAAGAGAAGAAACATGGTGAAAGCTAAATAACAAAAGAAAAGATACAGCAACATAAATACTTAAACTTCAAATATTTCAAAAAATAAACAACCGAGTGTAATTAAAAGGTGGGTTTGAGTTAAAAGTTTCAAACGAAGAACCACATAAAATGGTTAAACCAAACAAACTCAGTAAATCCAAGCCGAAAGTAGGGTCTGCTTGGGGGGGGATGTATGCTGACTTTTCCTACTGCCTCAAGAGATGAAGAGGCTTTACCCAAAATCATTATTGACAACATTGATTTTGGTAAATAGGATTTCCCTATTTTGTCACTATATATGAGGGTATTTTAAACAATATTTCTATTAACCACGTGCATCGTCAAGCATTGCATTTATATCCGGATAGAGGGAGTGAATAGCTCTGAACATACGAGGGAGAAACGCTTTGAAGAAAGCACAAAGCTCAAAATATATGTCTATTAGAGAGAGGAGGGAAAGAAGATTACAAATCTTTTCAGAGTCGATAAGGTACAGGTCAGTATAACATGAAGAATCAGCCATAGGCCAAAACAATGAGCAAAAAAATAGAGTATTTTTTTTCTTATGAATAGAATTGTCATTCCGTTCCTCCACAGAGAACCATTTATTCTAATTGTTCTTCCCAAAGTTTGTTTTGAGTTGTTGGTTCTGTAGGTTTGGCGCAGATGCCCGCTTAATTCCATTGACCAACCGACCAAAGGATTGTACATCTAAGTGTACAATCTTGCATGTATGTTGTGTGCAAATTTATGTTGGAGGCTTTGTGCGCACTGCGCCAGCATACTTGATGGGAAAACCATATCTAGACTCAACCCCAGAGATTGTACTAAATTTCTTATAGACTACCCTCAGCTTCCAAGGATGGCCAAAAACACCCATGGACAGATACCATAATAACACTCTGAATATTTTGACGCCAACCTGATTCACGGTTGCAGACGACAATCCAACGTTTCTGGTTTCTGATATTGGAGCCACGGGGGGAGAACTGCAATCAGTTGATTCCGGTTTCTAGTGGATCATACTCTTAAGGTCATACGTTAAGTTGATTGGGAATCGTAGCTTATCACAGAACACCACCATGCAAAAGGGAATCAACAGATACAGTCCCCTGTGGCTCCAATATCAGAAACGAAACGGCAGATTGCCGTCTACAACCGTGAAACAGCTTGGCGTTAGAATATTCACACAATTATTATGGCCGCCGTCCATGGGTGGTTTTGGCCGTCCTTGGAAGCTGAGGGTACTCTCCATGAAATTTAGTACGATCTCTGGGGTTGTGTCTAAATATGGTGTACCCATCAAGTATGCTAACGCAATGGGCACAAACCCTCTTAACATAAATTTGCAGACAACAAACATGCAAGATTGTACACTTAGATTTACAATCTGTTGGTGAATGGAATTAAGCAGGCATCCCCGCCAAACCTACAGAACCGACAACCCAAAACAAACTTTGGAAGAACCAAACGAACCCAAACAACGTTCTATTCATTATAAAACACACTATTGACAAAACAAGAATAAGTACTAAAAACTTTAACCAAGATAAATCAATCTCCAAAGTCCAAACAACATTGAAAACCTAAGGAGAAGGAGCCCAATCAAGATCAAAAACACACTTCAAGGCACGAGAGAAGAAAGATGGGCAAGAACATATAAAGCAAGAGAACCATTATGGTGTAATGCACATAGGGTAGCATTGCCATCAAGTATTTAGTGTGGTGGTATCAGCCCTCGTCTCCAAGGTGGTAATACATGGAGACAATATATTTCATATCTCCAATTCCCCCTTGCTTTCCCAACCCACACACACCACTACGACAAATGAGCATGTTAGGTTCACATGGAGTAGGGTCTACTGAGTAGATAGTACACAAACCATACCTCTAGCCAACGGAGCAGAGAGGTTGCTTCCATGAAGACCCTGCTTGTGAAAAGGTTTTGAGAAAGGGATTTTGCAAATAATTATTGTTTCTGAAAGTTTCTACAAAAGTCTGCAGGAATTTGAAGTTTATAGGACAGACAACTGTGTGTCATATACGAAGGCATTACGATAAATTGTTACTTGTTAGGACGAAGTTAGGCGCCCTAACAAGTTTTATCCTTAGTTGTGACAACAAATTTGATCAACCCAATAGGATTCAAGAAGTAAACGATCTTGTTAGCACTTCTTGAGAAGTATTTTATAGGACACTTGACACTTCTTAAAAAGGTTACATAAAACACTTTTCAAGAAGCATCCCGTAAAAACATTCAAGTCCTTTCATGAAATATGATATGCCTAAACACATGTTCTTTTTTGACATGTTACAAAAATAATTGCAATGTCCCCTTCAAGGTAGAGTTTAAGTCTGGAGTTACCTCTATGCCCATATGTAATCATTACAAATATTTATAGCTGTGATTTTGGTCCAAAAATACTCATTTTATCATTTTTTGGGGATATTAGATATTTGACTATTTGCCAAATGCTTGTATCAACTATGTGTTTAATCAAAAGTTGCATTCGTTTCTATTCAAAGGGATTACCTATTTGTGCATATATACTGCTTCTAAACAGAACCCAAATGATACGATATTGAACAATCAGACGATCCAACTACATAGTTTTTCTTTCATTACTTCCATGGTAGTGCCTCTTGGCATGCCAGCATCATTGTAATGAAAACTCAATCTTGTGGAATAAAACGTTTTTTTTCAAAAGAAGTTGCGTATTGCTATGGGTTTGGTCGACAAATGAATTTTAACCAAATCGAACGAGCCCGGTATATCTCACCTAGATGTGGGTGGATCATGCTTGAACAAAAAATAACTAAATAATTCAGAAGATGTAGCAAATGGCTTGATTTACTTACCTGAACGAACATCATCACTGAGTTTTCCTTTAGCTTGGAGTTGTCCAAGAAACATCCGAAATATTAGCACCCACCAATAGATGTGAAGAACAAGCAAGGAGAAAAGAAGGGTGTTGAACGCGTAGTAGTAGATTGGTCCCAACGTCTTATACTTCTCTTTGTTCAATGACGGAACAAGTTCATAACTGCACCAAGGAACAAAAAAGCATATAGATAATTTAGATCTACAAATGAAATAGTTTGAAAGTACAAAATAGGAAGCATTTGATCCAACAATTTTTATTCCCGATGTTATTTCACATTTGATGCTCCCTACACTTACCAATTCTATTTTATTTCTTAGGGGGTGTTTGGTTACAAGTATTAAGCAGTAATCAATGGGAATGAAAATAAAAGAAACTGTTTTGTAAGCTAAAAAATTTAAACTGGGGGGAGGGAGAATGAAAATTCATCCCCATTTTCGTTCCCTATCAATTTCATTTTCATTCCCCAACATGAACCAATCATCCCCCAAGTTGTTTCAAGTGTCATTATGTTAATTACCAACCTCTCAAAGTGGTTTTGGGATATAATACTAATTGTGACCTCACCATGTGTTTTGATCAGAAAGAATATTAGATATTTGAACATAAAAAACATATATTTACCATCGTAATCTAACCTTGTACTCCACAGGACCCAAAACGGGTAAATGATAAGCCGAAGGATTAACCATGAAAGCATGAATAATACAAATGAAATGCCTGCAAGTCCTTCAGCGCCACTGTATTTAGACATCTTTCCTACTTCAAGAAACACATCGCTGCCATCATGAAGAGCTAAAACAATTGACCCAACCCGCACAAACCTACAGGAGACAATTAAAATAATTAAAATATTTATAAGAATATCAAGACACAAATTTATGTCCCATGTGTACTCCTTATAACAAACTCAATAGAGTTTGCACCATAGCATATACTATCGTAAATAACACATCATTATGTCGACCAATTCTCTACACAAAACGATATTTTGTAACACACCACACCATCATGAGATATTACCTGCAAATATAAGACATTACAATGAGAATCAAAGTTGCAACATGATGACCCATTGACACACCAAAATCAGCTCGTCTTGTTTCCCAGAAAACCAAAGCAAAAATGGAGTACGTGTAGAATCCACCCGCATACATGTATAGGCCTTTCAATTTCAATCTGAAAATCCATCAAACTATCAACCAACTTCAGTTGAAATGATAAAAAATAAACCCCAAAATATGTACTATTAAAATATGTGAAACCTTATTAGATTATTCTCCAAAAGAGCTCTTGAGGAGAGAAGGAGGTTCCAACATATATCGAAGATAAACGTTCCAAGTCTAGCCAATGTAGGACTCTTCACACACCCCTCAAATGAGGCTAGACGGACACTGATTGTCCCAAAGTGTTGAGAATGAGAGGGGGCTAGACTGGTGAGGGGTAGACAGACAGAGTCCCTAGAATGGTAAATCTTGGCTCTGATACCATGTTAAAATATGTGGAACCTCATTAGATTAATCTCCAAAAGAGCACTGGAGGAGAAAAAAAAGCTTCCAACATATATATAAGAGAAATGGTCCAAGTCTAGCTGATGTGGGACTCAACACATACAGTTACACGATATCTTACTTTGCTTTCTGGTCAGGCCATTGCTGGCTGCCAGGACCTGTCCAAAAGTTCGTAGTATTAGTGAACCAGGGCTCATCATGAGTCACAACCAACGCTAGGATTTCTGCTGAAAGATAATAGACACATTTCCATGCTGATTCCTTAAATTTCCGTATCTTCTTTTTCCTTTCTTCTGTCTCAACATCTAGTCTCTGCTGCTCCTTTCCAAATATTAAACGCCTTCCAATACCCTGCAACGTGTGACCCAATTATAAACTAAACGCAAGTATTATTAACCTCAGATATCTGATATTCTAGATTAACCAATAGTTTTTCAAATGTGTAAAAAAAGATGGACTGCTTCTTGGTGCCTCTTGAAGCTTGTGGATGTCAGTTTCTGTTATAGGACCAAGAATCGATGCCATTAGTCTTGCCAAAAACAGTCAGTGGGGATTTGGAATATATTGCATGCTCATGATATTATTGTAGTCATCGTAATAGTGATGTACTTTCTAATAAATCTTTTGCTATATCATATTTACATGCATACACATGCATAAACACACATGTATACACACACACACACATATACATCTATATATAGTATATACAGGCACTCACCAATACATCCTTCTCCATTAATTTCTCTCGTCCTAAATTTTTATGAGTAACTAAGCACTTCTTCTTTTGATATATAATTTGTTTCATTTTCCTAACCATATTTGTTTCTATGACAAATCCGTGATGCTCATATTTGCTTTAGATTAATTACACAAATGTTAAACTCATTCTAAAATTAGGAACTAACTCCATGAAACCATGAGGTCTTCCAAGTGATTTCACTTCTTTCACAATCAGCCTACCCCTTAACCTTATTTGTTCCTTACAACTAATTTTTTTGAATCGAGTTTAGACTACAAAGGACACACTGGTGGATGCAACGAGTAAGGAAATTCAGGCATTTGAGAACTTAAACACATAGAAGGTTGCACCACTAACCACATGGGAAAAGATTGATAGGATAAAATATGTTTATAAATCAAAATTAACTTTACTCAGAAGTATTATCTAGGGCTGGAAGTCCTCAGAACCTATGGTGGTTGTCATATGAATAAAAAAATACCTTCAAATTTCATTTAATTGGAAGTTCGAAAAAACAAACCCCTTTATATTCCCATGAATCTTGGTTTTTTTTTAACAAAATTAGTGGAGAATTATATGCTAATACTCCTTTATGCAAATAGCTTGTTAAGAGAGTGTTTGTCTTGTTTGATATGCAACCCCACTTTGGTGAGTGTTTTTTAAGCATATAATATTTATATACGGAAAATAGAACAAATAAACCCCCAGGCCCTCCTCACCTTTGATGAGGTTTGAACCCCTACCTGTTAGGAATCGCTAGGCCAACAGCCCTTTGGTTACTTTGCTGAGTGTTCTAAGGTACATCAAACCCATTTTCATCCTTCTTAATTCTTACAAACTCCTGTTAATGGATCGAACAGGTTCAAATTCAATGGTGTAAAATTTGCAACAACTTTCATATATGGAACTGAAAACACTAGCTTTTGACTTGGTGGATCTCTTTACGGAACCTAGGGATTAAAATCATAAATTTACAACTTATTTCAAACAAACACAAAAATTAGCTATTGGTTCAATCCAATTCTTCACAATCTCCAATACAAGTTCAAGAATAAAAACCCAATCGAATCAAATAAGTAGCCATGCGTAACGGGATTAGTAAAAGTTACCTCAAAAACATATACGTCGAGGAAATATCGAGCGGTTGGGAAGAAGATAGCAAAAAGAGGAAGAACTGCAAAATCTTGGTAAGTTGGGTAGGATTCATGTTCAAAATCGAAAGATGGTAAAACCTCAATGAAACCCATATCGTGGAAGTGGGTTATTTACTTCATCTTGGATTGAATTGTATGAGTTCATCACGGCGACCTGATGATTATACAAGTCAACAGAGTCCAGGGGCGTCGCGTCGACCTGGAGAAGGACCCACCACCTCTTATCGAAGGAATATTGCCTTCAATTCCCATAAGCAATGCAGCAAGATTTTACCAATTATCTATACATTTTATCTAAAACTGTTCATAAACTAATATTTAAACCAATTTAACATTATTTGTTAAACAAAATTTATATGATAATTGGATAATATGGGTTTGTTTATATAGAATTTTGTACCATCATCTAATAATTAACGGATTCAATTTGGAAATATTTAAACATGATTTTTGTTTGTTTTTTAATTTGATTTAAATTGAAAGTTGTTTATAAGATACTTACCTGGTAAATACTTACAGGTAAAATTCAACACTGTCACTTACTTATTAAATAAGATTTTATTATATCAAAACGACATTATATACAATTATTTACCCGATAAACGTTAACTGTTTTCTTGAAACATTTCCTCATGAAAACGAACCCTGATGTTCTTTGTAATTTCGAAAAGTTTCCATTAAACCATGGGCATTTTTGTAATTTACTATATTTTTGTTTTCTCCGTTGACTCATCCATCTTCCCCCAAAACGTTTATGCCCTTTGCATCTCCCTTCTCGTCTCGGCTGGAAATCCTTGCGCTATGATTCTGAAATATTGGGACTAATCAGACCATCACGAAGCATTAAGAATTGGTGAGTTTCTAATGAAATTTTGATTTATTGGGCTTTTGATTGTCGGGTTAACTGTATTCAGTCTTTAGATCTAAAGATTTAGGGTTTTCATTGAGCCTTTCTTTATACAAGTTTTCTGTTCACCTTTTTTCTCTGCTACGCAATCACAGTGTTCGATTTAGTTGGTTATGCTTTAATGCTGGTTACTGTATGTTACATTGATTATGTTGTTTATCTCTTGAATCTATGATGCGTGTTCAATGTGTACCTTTATGTTCTTGGTTTGTCATCATCATTATTAGCATCTCATCTTTACTGCTTTTGTGGATGAATAGATCTATGATCCATTTATCTTCTATAAGAACATTCTTTTTGTTATGCTTCTCTTTGAATTAAGGCTGCTTGTTTGTTCTGCTTTTTTTTTCAGGTACATGGAAGTGGAAACACTGTGAAAGTTGATTGATAAGTGAATCCTAAAGAAAGTTGTACCAATTTAAGTAATTTGCTTACCTATTGTCTCAAATTGAAGTATGGATCTTCAAAACAAAATGGAAGATCAAGGTGAAACCCTCATTTCAACCCCTGATCATCCACTTAACAATGCTTTTGGCTCGCTAAACGACATCTGCTACGAACTATCTTCCCTACAAGAACTTGCTTGCCGTGGCTCATGGCGATCGATTCTTGATAAAGTCACTCGAGCTCGCACCCAATCCCTTCTAACCAAACCCCATGAACACCTAATTTATCTCTCCTATTACGCCATAGCTCTCACCAAACTCCGGCGTTTCTCTGAAGCAGTAACTGAACTTGATTCCCTTGAAAACGGCTTAGACAATGTTATTTACAGTTACGAAAATTATCCTCACCATTACCCTAACCGCTATGGTTCCATGGCCCCCTTTGTTCTCCGTTGGTTGTACGCCGAACTCCCTTCTAGAGTAGAAAATCGTCAAGAAACCCTAGATCGGTTCTATTTGTTATTGCAGTTTGTTAGGGAGAAATCGACTAAAAGTTCATCAGGTATGTCAGATGACATATGGAGAAAACGTGAGGGTTTGGTGATTAATTCGATAATAAGTCATCATTTGAGTCATAAAGAGTTTGGAGTATGTTTGGATTTGATCAACGATTTGATCAATCGTGAGTCGACTCCAGTAGCTAGAGCGGTTTTGACATCGAAGCTCGGTTATATCCAAATGCAATTAGGGGATTTGGAAGGTGCAAAGGCGAGTTTTGCGGCAGTTGAGGGAGTTGTGACCAAAGAGGTTGAGATGAAAAATCTTGTGAACAGGAATAAGGCATTGATGTTTATGGTCGGGAAGGATTACGTGTCGGCTGTAAGGGAGTACCAGGAGTGCATTGATCGAGATGATTCGGATGTGGTTGCGATTAATAATAAGGCTCTTTGCTTAATGTATTTGCGGGATCTTTCGGATTCTATAAAGGTGATGGAGAATGCATTAGAGAGAGTTCCAACTGCTGCTTTAAATGAGACTTTTGTGGTGAATTTGTGCAGCATGTATGAGTTGGCTCATGTTAATCACTCGGATATCAAGAAGACTCTTAGCAATTGGATTGCTCGTGTTGCACCTGATGATTTTGATACGTCGTGTACTCGACTCTGAGGTACTTATTATGTATTACGAGCGCTTATTCTTTAATTATGTCTTATAGTGAGGTTCAGGGAAAACCCCCAAAAAGTGAAAAACTGGGGAACACCCTAATAACCGTGTACAAGAAATTGAAGATGTTTTTCGGTTTCTATGCACGTCTGCATATTCTGCAAATGTGTATTCACTGGAAAAATTATTTACAAGTTACTTTTATAAACATGTGCATACCATGTGCATACCATACAGCCGAATTGTTACTAGAGAATTTCTCAGTTTTTCCATTCTTTTTGTTTCCCCCTAAACCTGACACTCTCTCTCTCTCTCTCTCTCTCTATATATATATATATATATATATACAATTAAAGGAAGGTTCAAACGAGAACGCTAATTATTTAAGAAAACAAGAAAAAAGTGGTTAATGTACAAAATAACATGTGAATTTACATTAAATGGAAGTGGGCGACTTTTGAGGTCATTTAAGTCGCATGGCAAAGTCGTCTTGATCATATATGATTTGTTACGTGAATCATATATGATTTTGTACACTAACGACATTTTTCTTGTTTTCTTAAATAGTTAGCGTTTTCGTTTGAACATGCCCTTATATTTATAGGGGAACCTTCTTTTGAGAAACCTCAAATTGAGATAACCTTGAGAATTGGTGCATCATGTGCTATTTCATATTATTTTATTTCATCTAAGACTAAGATTTAGAATATCGGTTAACATATATTTGTTTCATGATGTGTTTGTTTCACATGTACTCGGTTCATAATGTGAATCTTTTTGGCGTGCTTGTGAAACAAAAATATACGTAAAAAAGTTTCACATTGTGGACCAAATACATATGAAATAAGCACATTGCAAAACAAATATATGTTAATCACTATATTAAATACTATATTTAGATAGAAAAAGAAAATGTTAAACAAAGCCTTAAGGTAGAAGTGATCTCACAATTTTTGGAGTTCTTTAATGATTAAACCCCTGTATATATATTCACAAGGAGGTGATTATTTCATGTGTTTATTTAGCTAAATGACCTCCTGACAAATGTTTTTTAAATCCACGACCTTTTGATATGCTTTTGTGGTATTCTTGTGTTAGAAAGTCATTTAACCAAATGACCCTTGTTTTGTGGTGCAAACTTAACCGTGTGCCTACCTTTTTCAGGTCAGTTTGAAGTCCGACCCTGGCAAGTGTGTGAAGATCAGCTGAGTGGGTGCTCGATAGATTAAAAAATGTAGGTTTCCTTGTTGCAGAGCTCACCCTTGATTTTGTTCTCGCGATATGATGTTGTATAAACTGCGTAGGCAAATGACAGTCTACCGAGTGGAAGTCTTGTTAAAGTTGTATCTAGTGGTTCATCGCTTAGATGTTTAAAAAATGGTGAACCAGTGTATTAAAACTCTTGATTTTGCAAGGGCTAGGGAAGGAAGTATTCTACACCATTTTCTTTGTTGAAATTGTTTGTGATTGGGATCCTAACAAATGGCTGAAAAGTGCAGAAAATTTTGCAACTTGTGTTGAAAAGCATCAAGAACTTGCCTACTTCTAACATCACTTTTCTGTTTTCTGTAAATAAAGTTGTGACGCTTTGATTTTCTTTTACTTTAACCTCGTGTTTGCACACCTTAGGGGCTCCAGAGAATAGCCAGGAAAATCTGCAGTGGCTTTGAAGGAACTCGAGAATCTTATGGCCGTCAGATATGGCTTTATCAATGGCCTTCAAAATGCATATCCTCATACTTTCAAGAATCTCCATCGGATCGTGCTCAATCGTGCTCAACCCAAGTATGACACAGAAACCCGAAAAAAGGAAGATGGGTAAAATCTTTTTCAAAAATTAAAATTCGATAAAAATAAATAAATATTGAGATTCTTGATTACCTTGCTTCTGGGTAAAACTCAGGTGAACTCACCTGGTGCGATCCAGTGGGTTAAGCGTGCTTATCATAGATGATGAATCTAATTCTTGTTGTTCCTCGATCGATCGACCCATTGAACACTTGTTCTTTCACCATCTTCTCTTCTTGTTGTCGCCGAATTTCCTTAAATTCAACAAAAGCAAAGAATTCCATTGTCGATTTTATCATCTCCCCGACCCTGAGTATGATTGATGTGAACTCAACTGTTTTATCTACTAAAGATGATTTAGACATCTCTTGAATCTTGTAAATTTCTTCCTATATAAACGCAAAACTCAATTATTTTATTAATTTAGAACCAAAGTAACATCAAGAATATTATCAAATATACGGAACCTCCAAATTTACTCTCCAAGAGAGTCCCTTAAAGAGAGAAGATTTCAACATATATGGAGGAGAAATGGTCCAAGTCTAACCGACATGGGATTTTTAACATTAAACTAGATTGTGACGTTTCAGTTAAGCTCCAATTTTCTATGTGTTTTCGATTGGCCAATAGCTTAACCATAGACAAACTTTACGAGCTTCAGGTTTACCAAAGACTTTGGGGTTGTACAATGGGCTGGTTTGATCACACCGATCAAATGAACCACGTATTTGGTTAGCAGTTTTGTATTATGCTTTAGGGGGTGTTTGGGATTGCTTATAATTTTTAACTTATTTCAGTCTGACACCGGTGATAAACTGTTTTTTAGTGTTTGGATAAGAAAAGAAAAAAAAACTGCTTATACCGGTGTCAAACCGGTAATAAGTTGTTGATAAGTTAATTCTTCCTGATTTATGAAAAACTGTTTATTACCAGTTTACAATTTTAACCCTATTTTATTTAACTCTGTTTTGATACCACATAAGATAATAAGACGGAAAAAAACATAAGTTGTTTTAAATAGGCAATCCCAAACACCCCCTTAGTCGGGCTTCCAGTTTCTGAATATTGCAATTTAAACCCTAACTTGGTGAAATAGTTACATTTTGGTCCTATATTTTAAAAAATCACAGTTTAGTCTCTGAAATAGTAAAAACATTCCATTCTAGTCCAAATAAAGTAATAAACTCCGACCCAAAACACCAATTCAATGATGATATCTTTACATTGATTCAAACCAAATAAAGTAACAACACTCATATTATTAGCTTCCAAACAAAAGAAGCTTTTCAGACAAGAATCATTCACAGATGAATCAATTCAATTTCAATCCAAAAAAAAACACTAGTATGGTTTAAGACCTCAAATTAAACCAACAATTCGAGCAGAAAAGAACCCAAATTAAGCTCTCTCTCATCGATCAAACCATCTCTGCGATTTTTGGTTTAGAACAAGAAGGATCGGCATTAGGAGGAGCAATGGGAACCCCAAAAGCTTGTGCATGAGTTCTGATATCTTGTCTTCCTCTTGCCCTTCCTACAAAATAACACCCAACACCAAGCATCACTGAGAACAATATCAGTGGCACCGATATCACCACCACCATCGCCATCTTAACTAATGTGTTGCTACCTTCTTCACTTTATGTTTCAGATTACGAAGAGCTAAGTTGTTACGTACAGAAAGGGGTGATTCCCCCTGTTAAAAAGGAGGAGAAAATTCATGTTTAGTCCTTGTAGTTTAATGTAGTTCCACTTTAGGTTCAGTTTTTCAACATATTTCCAGGTATAGTCCTTATAGTTTATGCTAGTTTCTCAACATGTTTATTGGGATATGAACCCTTGAATATGTTCGAAGATCTGATCCTCGGCTTCTATGTTCCAGCGATTTAACGACTTCTTTTATAACATTACTTGCAAAGATATAAATCTGTGGAATCATGTTTTTAGCTGATTTTTGTCATGTAATTTAACCAATTTCTACTAAAATAATTTTATGTTAATAATCAAGAAAAAATGCATTTAATTTTAGGATATGCTGATTATCACTCAAAAATTAGAAAATCATACTTTAGAAAAATGAATGAAATATAAGTTGTCTATCGATACCTTATTCTATAGTTTTATGTGAGAAAAGGATTGAATGGTTAAGTGGAGTTATCTAAAACATGAGGGGTGTAAATGTAAATATGATTACAACTGGCAGCTACTTCCAACGGTACATGTAATAACGTGTACTTCCCAACGGCTACTGCACAGTCCAGACTAAATTTAACGGGGTCCACTTGCTTTCGAAATTTAACGTTAAAAATAAAGTGAATTATATTGTAGTCTCTTGTATGTTCAATTTTTTTTTTTCTCTTTCTTAATATTGATAAAAGTTTTGATTGTTTTTTAATATAAAGTATTGATCATAATTAATGAACTTTAGTTATCTTTCATAAATATTTAAATTATAATAAATGAACTCTAATAATTTCTATAAATATCTCAATTGATTATGTAGCATTGGTTGTATAAATGAAAGTGGTTACATTTGAAATATACCATATATATGTATGTATGTGTGTGTGGGGAGGTATAAAAATTTGTCAACCGGTTTATTTGGGTTAACTATATTAACTCTTGGATCCATAGAAATTCATCTAATGTTATAGTTCATACATCACTTTGTACTTATTGTGAAGGACGATATGGTAATTTTATTTTATATTTTATGTTACTCTAAGACATTTAAATGGAGATTACAAAATTACATGATTTTAGATATTTTTTGTGATGTAACGGTTCATTAAATATGAAAATTTGTAATGAAACTTRTGAACATGTTTGGTAAACTATTGRATTTTAGAAAMATCATTCAKTTATGRACACRTTCACTCTTTCACCTWTGAACGARGCTATTGTTTCAATATTTTTCATTTTCACTTGTGAACACATTTACTGTTTCACCTATGAACACATGATTATACTATTATTCTCCACTTATGAATACATCATTATTCTTATGAACACATTAGTTTCGTTATGAACACATAATTGAGCTTATGAACATATTASTTGACAAACTTGAAAGAGATGATAGAGTTTCGGTTATGAAACACCAAGGGAGAAATGACTAGGACTGAATTTTGAGTATGATAGATGCTATTTTAATTTTCCAAAAATACCCTTGTTCACACTAGTCTATAACGCATGYGTTTCCATAATATTACAAGGATGTCATTGTGTCTTTCAAACCGTTGATCAAAAAGATTGAAGGATATTATGGGTTAACAAAGTTAACACCAATGACTTGGTTAATAAATAAACAAGCCATGTGTATATATGGATATGTATGTGTGTGTATATATATGTATGTTGTATGTATGCACGTTAATGTGCGAAATATATATATATATATATATACATGTATGTATATATTCTTATATAAACTTGGGATCATGTGAGACCAAAGGTTTTTCATGAGACCCGTAAGATCAATTCTCAACTCTTTGATTAGATATACAATCTGAACATTCATAATCACAAAACTGCCACGAGACTTCTCAACAATCACAAAATTGTCACCGT